AAAAAAAAAAAAGAATGTTGAAGATGGATGACCATGCTCTTCTGGCTTGGAAGATTTCAGTTGAAAAGTCTGCTGTCATCCTAATGGCTCTGCCTCTGCTTCTGTAGGTCAGTTGGTGCTTACTCCTAGCTGCTTGCAGAATTTTTTCATTCATCTTGACTTTGGACAGGTTCATTACAATGTGTCTCGGAGGCTCTGTTTGAGTTAAGATGACCTGGGGTTCGATGTCCATCTGAAGGGAGTGTGTCAGGGTCTTTAGTAAAACTTGGGAAGTTTTCCCTTATTATGGTCCCCAGTAGAGCTTCCATTTCTTTGGGACAATCTTCTTTCCCTTCAGGAATTCCTATTATTTGTATGTTTGAATGCTTCATGGAGTGTTTTGGTTCTCTAAGCACCTGTTCTGCTTTCTCTCTCTTCTTTTCTGCTTCTTTAACTTCCTGGGTTAACTTGAAAACTTTATCCTCTGCTCTAAGGTTCTTTCTTCTCCATGGTCTAACCTATACATATATATTTTTACTTTCTATTGCATCTTTACATTCCCTGATTGTCTCCTTCTTCTTCTTTTTTTTTTTGAGACAAAGTCTCACTTTGTTGCCCTCAGTGGAGTGCTGTGGCATTACAGCTCACAGCAACCTCCCAACTCTTGGGCTTAAGCAATTCTCTTGTCTCAGCCTCCCAAATAGCTGGGACCACAGGCGCTCGCCACAACACCCGGCTATTTTTTTTGGTTGCAGCTGTCATTGTTATTTGGCAGGCCCAGCTGGATTCGAACTTGCCACCTTAGGTGTATGTGGCTGGCGCCCTAGCCACTTGAGCCACAGGCAGGAGCCAGAGCTTAGATCTTGAAACAGTCTCAGCCTCAGCAAAGCCAAACTCTTCCTCATCACCAAATAAACAGGGACCTTCTCAGTATGGCTGCCTCACCAGCCACGAAACCTATGGCAAATTCACTCCAGCTAACATTCAAATCTGGTTGATGTACACTGTTCAAGTCTGCCCACTCTTCCAAGCTTTCCACTCAACATGCAGTTTCTCCCCAAAACTGAAAACTTCCTCCCATCCTGGACCTCCATGGCAGGCGCTGATTCCAGCCAGTCACAGTCACTTGTTTAATTCATCAGATTCCCTCTGCTCTGGATCATACGTGGTATCCAGCTCTCCACCTCCTCACTGTGCTCCCTTGCTGTTCTCCCTGACTCTGGGTAAGGTCCCTACAACAGGTATGGCTGGGTTTTCTTTTTCCCCAATTGTTCTAGGAGAGCTCAGCTGCACGATCCTTTTGGTCTGCCATCTTGCTCTGCCCCCCATGTGTGGTTTTGTTGTTGTTGTTTTGGAGAGACTGTCAGCTCACCCTCCACCTTGGGCAGGCGAGCTCCTCTCCTGGCTGTAGCTCCTGGGGTTGCTGGACGAGCACGGGCTAGCATAGGTGCTCTGCTAGCACACCTGGCACATGGGGCAGGCTTAGTCGATGTCAGTTGCTACTATTATTTGCTATTTGAATTTTCTTGCTTTAAAGCTATACTCTCCCTGTGTGGTTAGAGTGATCATTCTGCTTTCCACAGTATCTTAGAAATGTTGGGTGTTTCAGAGCTGAGGAACGTGGGCTGAGCTCCCCTGGTCCTTGGGATCACCCAGGCCCCTGGAATGTGCACTAGAGCATCTGCAGTTGGTGGCTGTTTTCTTATTTTAGGTCACCAATATGCTGTCACACCTGCTAGCTCAGGAGACAGGGAGGCCGTCTCATCTTCAGATGAGTCCTCTGATGCACGTTGAGTCTTGCGACCCAAACATGCCCAGCTGTCTCAGGCAGGTGGATGTGCCTTCACCTTGGCCTTGCCCAAGCATCACCACCTGTCTTCCAGCACCGAGTCAGTCCAGGGTGCCTCCCCCCGCCACCCTGGCCAGCACTACTCTCCTGGGTCACATCACAGTGACTTCTGGTTTCATTCATTGCCCCTCCCCCCAGGTCCTTTCCTTCAAGATCCACGGAAAACAAAGCAAAACAGAAAAGTCTGAATGGCCAGTGTGTGTGATGTGAGTGAGGCCTGGGCTTTGTGGGGCAGGGGAGAGGAATGGGGAAATTTGGCTGCTCTCAGGAAAGAAGCCAACAAGTCGCAGATGCTCCGAGAGGACCGTGAGCTGGTCAGACTGCACATGTGGAGGGGTTTCAGGTCTAGAGAAATTGCTCATGAGATTGGAACCCTTGCAAAGTAGCCAAAACTGACACCCATAGGAGACTGACTTTGAATCCTGCCACTGAGGGGCTCCAAGTGCCCAGGTGTTGATGGTTTTGCCATTGTTTTCTCCTGAGAACTTCCTGAAAGGACCTGGCTTGTAGAGCCATTGTAGACATCAGTGTCCACACTTAGATTTTAACCCTAGGAAGCTCATGTGGGAGCCTCATTTTCCTGTTGTGTACCGCAGGGCCCTCCTTACTCAGGCTGGCAGGGAGGGAGGGGTGTGCCGACCACACTCAGAGGCTAAGGGTTAAGGAGAATCAGGACTGGAGTCAGCAGAGGGGTGGGGTCCCGACTGCCCCAAGGAACTACGTGGTGATGTAGCTTGTCTGAGCCTTGCTTCCTTGCTCTGTGAAAGGGGGGCCAGAATGAGTTAGGCCTGACCCAGTGCAGGGTGTCTGAGGGGCCCCGACTTGGTGCAGGCGTCTGACCGTCCGCCCACCCCTGCGCTGTCCGTGGGCGCCCGGCACTCACTTGACGGCATAGGTCATGCGGTCAGGCCGCATGCAGCGCACCATGCACAGCTTCTGCAGGGCCGTCTTGTTCTTCCACTCCTTTGGGAAAATCTCCTTTTCTGGGGCTTCTGACTCCACCAGCTTTTTCCACCGCTTGGCGGATCCTTCGATGTCACTATCCAAGTTTTTGAACTCGTCCATCTCTGAGAGGGCCTGTGGGCAGACACAGTGTCCCTGTCACTGAAACCATGTCCTATTTGTCTGCCTCTGGCAGCCTGGGACAGTGGCTGGGAGCCTCCTTGGGAGGAATCTGATTTAATGACGTGACCTGGCTTCCCATCTGTGGGGCACTGGAAGGGACTAGCGGCTGCTTCTCTAGGGGTCTCTGGAAACGGGACCAGAGACAGTGGTCTCTGTCGCAGGGAACTACCCTCTTCAGATCTTTCTAAAGGGAGCCCTTGAAACTGGAGGGTCCCTGGCTGTATGTGTCCAGGAACCTAAGGAATAGCGTTTACACTGTGCACTTGGCTGGCCCTGGAAGGAGAGGTCCCCTGCAAGAAGGAGGGGACTGGGAGCTAATTGTATGCAGGCCCCAGGGGACCTAACACATGCCACAATTGCATAGCAAAGCAGAGCTACCTGTGAGCTGACTGCCTGCCCATCCTAGTCCCTGTCCCTGTCTCTGGGACCTCCTCGTTTTTTGCTGAGTTTTAGGGGCCTGTGGCGCCTTGTAACCTGGCCTTGTAAACATCCTCAGCATCAGCCAGAAATAAAGTACATGGTATTCAAAGTCTGAAGCCGGACCTTGATCCCACCCCAGCCTTGGTTCTGTAGGAAGTCCACCGGCGACACGACGCCAGCCTTAAAAGGGAACCGTAGGAGGAAGTCCAGCTCCACTGGGTTCAGCTCTTTCTTCATGGATAAGACCTGAGGGCAGGAGGGACACACACTCAACACTGGCAGTCAGCAGCTCTTTTTTTTTTTTTTTTGAGACAGAGCCTCAAGCTGTCCCCCTGGGTAGAGTGCCGTGGCATTACAGCTCACAGCAACCTCCAACTCCTGGGCTCAAGCGAGTCTCCTGCCTCAGCCTCCCAAGTAGCTGGGACCACAGGTGCCCGCCACAACGCCCGGCTATTTTTTGGTTGCAGCCATCATTGTTGTTTGGCGGGTCCGGGCTGGGGATTCGAACCCGCCACCTTAGGTGTACGTGGCTGGCGCCTTAGCCGGTTGAGCTATAGGCGCCGAGCCGCAGTCAGCAGCTCTTGACGTGAGCCCGCTGGCTGCCAGCTGCCAGGGAGCTTACAGTCCTTGCTCTCCGTGGACAAGCTGTCTTGCCCTTCTGGGTTGGGGCAAAGCTTTGTGTTCACTTTGTCTAACATGTAGTTTACCACTTTATCATATTAAAGTCTGTAATTCAGTGGCAGTTCACACATTCACAATGGTGTGTGACCACCACCTCTTTAGCTCTAGAACTTTCTCACTACCCAGAAGGGAGACCCCCTCCACTAAGCGCCCCGGCCCCCAGGCCCTGACAGCCACTCCTCTGCTGTCTCCGTGGATTTGCTCTTCTGGACATTTTGTATAAATAGACCCATGTGCTGTGTGCCTGCTGCATCTGGCTGCTGCCACTTATCAGGCGTTCTGCGGTTCCTCCTTGTGTCTGAAGTTCATCCCTTTCTAAGGCCAAGTGATGCCCCATTGTGTTCCCTGTACATCCGTGAACAGACAGATGGGTTGTTTTGGCCTTACGAGGCCTAGGCTATTGGGAATGAAGCTGCTGTGAATGTTGGTTTGCCAGAGTCTGTCTGGACACCTGTTTTGTGTATTCTGGGTACATCCCCAGGAGTGGAGTGCCAGGTCATGCTATGCCCTCTTGTACGTGTGCATGCCACTCTCTGGACCTCCAGCAGGCAGGGCTAGCTGTGCTGGGCAGCTAGCAAGGCGCCCTCTGTCCAGATGGGCTGACAGGCACTGCCATGCCTCAGTCAAGTGCCCAGAGTCAGACTTTTTCTTTTGATCATATCATATGTTCTCTGGGCCTGAAAACAATGCTTTCTTCCCTGGAAGATTACAGGGATTCCTGAGGAAGTCTTCTCAGCAGGAAGAAGAACCCATCAGGCACTTCTGTGACCCAGAGATTCAGATGTGAAGGAAACGTCCTTAATTTGGACTGCATTGATTCAAAGTTGGAGTTTGGGGACGGGTACGGTGGCTCACCCCTGTAATCCCAGCAGTCTGGGAGGCTGAGCCAGGTGGACCGCCTAAACTCAGGAGTTCCAGACCAGTCTGAGCAAGAGTGAAACCCTATCTCCACTAAAAATAGAACAACTAGCCGGGTGTTGTGACGGGCACCTGTAGTCCTAGCTTCTCGGGAGGCTGAGGCAAGATGATTGCTCAAGTCCAGGAGTTTGAGGTTGCTGTGAGCTATGATGCTACCACACTCTACCCAGGGTGACAGAGTGAGACTCTTGTTTTAAAAAACAAACCCACAAAAGTTGGTGTTTGGATTGAAAGCCAAGTTTACATTAGTTCCAGAGCATTTCCAGCCATACTAGTGAACAGCATTGCAGAAGGCTGAGCTGCGCTCTGAATGTTTCCTTCAGAAACCATGTGTCAGACATGCCAGCAGTGCTGGAATGTGGGGCCTGAGGATTCGTGATTAGTCTGGGATAGCAGAGTGGAAGGATTTGTTGTAAGATGGGGTGCGGGGCCCCTCTTGTGCTCTCTCTCACCCTCTGGCCTTCCCCCACGGATGCTGCAGCAGGAAGGCCCTCACCAGATGCCTGCACTTTGATGTGGGGTTTCCCAGCCTCCAGAACCACGACAAATCCGTTCCTATTGCCTATAAATGGCCCAGTTTTAGGAATTTTGTTACAGCAGCACAAAACAGACTGAGACAGGCTGTTTAATCAAGCTGATGGAACACAGCTCTAAATGCTCCAGCAGAACTGTATAATCAAGGAGGGATGTTGGTTCACTGATGTGTTTACTGCACGGGAAATATTTCTCAGCATGCACAGTAGGTGAGGCATAAATGCAGGATTCATTACTCAGCACAACTGAAACGTCGCATTTCTTTGTAAAATTCTCTTTCACTGACGCCCTCTGGCAGTAGCTGCCACTGAAGCCCCTGCCTGCTCCCCTCACGTGGCCTGCTCCAGGGCAGGCACCTCACACTCCGAAGTTTGTCTGGAGTGTTGTTGAAATGCAGATCTGGGCTCTCCAGGTCTGAGTGAGGCCTGAGAGTCTGCATTTCCAACGAGCTCTTGGGGACACTGGCACCATCAGGCCATGGACCAGACTTTGAATATCCAGGCTGGACGTTACCTGAAATGTAACTTGTGCCAGAAAAATGAGTTTGTCTCGCTCGAAGAGCCCCCGGGCGGTGTACATGTAGACCGAGTAGGTGATCTCGTCCGTCAGGTTGATCACACGCTGCTTCACCTCGTCGGCGGGAGCCGTCTTCTGGATAGCTTTCTCAAACACCACGTTGAAGGCCTGGAGAAGTGGCCACCAAGCTGCCACTGCCTGACCTGTGGTGGCCTCTGGCTGGTTTTGATTGCGGGGGTAGGGGTATTGTCTGGGGAATCGGGGAACGGCAGGGTGCAGGGACCCTCCCCAGGGGAGCTGGTATGATCTGGAACCCTGGCCTCCTTGTCCCTGTCTGCAGCCTTGGCCTGGTGCTGCCCGATGGCTCTGTGGGCACCAGGCCCAAGTCCAGAGCCCAGACAGCAGCCCACCTTGAGCGAGAACTGGTAGATGGGGTTGATCTTGTTGAGGTCGTTGAGGATGAAGTACAGCAGCGACGCCCTCTCTGCAGCAGGACGGTAGCTCTCTCTCGCCTCATTGATCTTAACTTCTGTGATCTTTGCTTCTTGCACCTTAAAAGAAACAAAAGGGGAGTGCATGAGGCCAGCAGGTGGACGAGGCCATGTGCAGGTGGGCCCCAGGTGAGCCCCCGCCACAGGGGGCTCTCAACAGACGGCGGGTGCTGGGGGAGCCCACACCCTTGGCCCTGCTGCCCACCTCCCTGTGCTCCTCTTGGGTCTTGAGGGTGTAGCCTCAGCATCTTACCTTCTCCTCAATCTCGCTGGCCGTGTGTTTGGTGGTCTCCAGATTCTCCACCAAGGCAGTGTCACCCAGAAAGTTCCCCGACGCAGCTGACAGACGGGCCAGGAGAGAGTCTTCCAGCTCTTTCAGAACAATCTTAAATTCATTTTGAGACTTGGTGAGGTTTGCCTGCGGGGGAAGCAGAGTCAGTGGCTGCGTGGCCTGGCTGTGGCTTGGCTTGGCCATGGCTGTGGAACCTAATGGGAGAAGCAATGCCAAGCCCAGCAGGAAGCGGCAGGAGCCCCCAGAGTGTGGGGGGGGCCCTGCGCCCTGCCTCCTGGCTTCTTGTCATGGAGACTGTGGGGAAGGATGAGGAGGCAGATGGGCCTGGGCGTCCTCCTCTGAGCCCACATGTCTGGCCAAGACAGAGCCAGGGATGTGGCCGGTTCATCTGCTCTCAGCTAGACTCTCTCATGGGGCAGCACTTTGGAGCTTAGAGTCTCTGAAACCCTCTGTGACTGCTGTTCAGATGGTCATTTGTTTAGAATTAAATTTGGGAGCTGGATGAGGAGACAGTGGAGAAGAAGTGATCCATTCTGTGCATGAGAAGGTGTGACTCAGTAGGACAAGCTCAGGCACACCTCAGAGGGAAGCCACAAGACCACGGGGCTGACAACTGCTCCCGGGACTTTCACCAAGGCCCGGCCCCCTCTGCCTCACGGGCCCCGCCTTCTGGGTGACCCAACATTGTTACCTTCAGCTGTTCTAGATCTGGGCGCTCTTTGGCCACCACAGCAGCCAAGAGCTGGTCCTCGAGGCCGTCCCTGGTGACCAGGAAGTTGATGAGGGTGCACTGTGCCTGCATCTCCGGCTTGTAGTGTGGGTTGAAGTACTTGGTGTGCAGGATCAGGCGGAAGTTGTGGTGGTACTCCACCTCCTTGTCCCCAATCTTAATGTACCTGAGTAGTGGGGACCGGATTAGAGGGGCTTTGCTGGCCCAGCAACAGACACGTAACACAGGCAGTTTGGCCCCCGCTCAGGGCAGTTCTAGGCCAAGCTACTGTCTTGAAGCTCCTGGTCACTGGAAGACATGGTGGCTCTCCTGTCTGTCCCTCCTCTCTAGCCCCTGACGAACGTCCTTCTTGAAAAGTCTTCTGTCCTTGCCTCTGGGCAGTTTGGTCTTACCACGCTGAGTTCACCTGGGAGCCTGGGCAGACGTGCTCACACCACCAGGAAGTCCCCCAGGTGGAACCCCAGTTCTCCTGCTCTGCCATGGGGCATCCCTTGTCTCTGGGTCCTGGCTGTGCTCTCCCTGGTTTCTGGTTAGGCTGACTTTGGGGGTCCCTGCCTGACCTCAGCCCTGGGCACCTGCACTCATCCTGCCCTGCTCAGGGCCTGGGACACCAGCTTGTTCACTTGCCGCCTCTGCTCTGGGTCCCTGCCTTCCTGTCAGCACCCACAGGTGGCGTCTGCCCACTCTGACCTTCCATTTTTAGTTAACTCTTTGTATATTATGCAGTAAATTACATCAGCTCATTATATCAGCTGACGAGAGACAAGACATGGTGCAGCTGTACAATGGGACATTATTCTGCCATAAAAACGAATGATGTGATGGCAACTGCTGCCACGTGTGTGAGCCTCAAAAGCTCTGTGGGAAGTGCAAAAAGCCAGACGTAGCGCGGCCCATCCTGCGCAGTCTGTTCACCTGAGGCTGCCAGGGACCGGGAGGGAGGGCGAGGGCTGTGCTTAGTGGGTGGGATCTCGCAGCAGGACTCCGTGAGTGTACCAAATGCTCCTGTGTGGAACACTTAGCGTTCTTAATTTCACATTGCGGGAATTTCATCTGAATTTTAAAAAGGTAATGTACTGGGATTGGCAAAATGCACAAGGACAAAAAGGAGTACTGTCTGGAGGTGCCTGCCCCCCGCCGTCTCCCACGCCCCGTCTCACCTTCACACCTGTCAGCACTTTGTCAAGGCTGCTGCTCCCCAGGGCAGAGAAGGCGATTCTGGGCCTTTCTCCCTGAACACATCTGAGGTTCTCCCCACTGACTGTATTTAGCCAGATTCACCCTCAGAGGTGGAGACCACTACTCACTTTCCCTTCTTGATTGTGTTCCTGCCCAGTAAGGGATCCAGCACGGGCTCCACGGTCTCGCCGATGTTCTCGATGAGCAGGGTATCCCCTTCTGAAATGGCCCGCTCAATGATGTCCAGGTAGCTGTGGGGACAGTGAGGAGCCACTTACTGAGAGGGCCTAGTGCGGGCCGGCGGGCCTCATGGCAGCCCTGGCTCGAGAGCCCCGAGCTGTTGCCTGAACAGCTCCCACTTTCTTGAAAAGAGCTAAGGGCTTCTTTGTAAGGACCCCCGTGGTCTGCTGGGCATGGAGATGAAAATGGGAGCAGCCCTGAGCTGCTTCCCAAACACTCTCACGTCCGCCTGGCCTCTCGTTTCCCGTGCCGCCAGGGAATCTCGTCACACGTGCCATCCTTGTTTCACACATGTGACAAGAAAACAAACTACACAGGACCCAGGCAGACAGCCGCCCTACGGCCTCCCAGCCTGTGAGCGCCGAGCCGCACGCACACCTGGGCCGTGAGCCTGGGCCTGGTCTTCCCTGCAGGAGCAACAGGTAATAAGTGTGTTGGGGGGGTAAGTTTAATTTTTACTACTGGTACTGTTTCCCAGGGTCAGATATTTAAACCTGTGAGCTGTGCTTGCAGTTAAAGATACGCCCTGCCATTTAACAAGTGTGAAGTGCTCAGGGCATGTTTCCAAGTCTAGGGTGGGCAGCTGCTTTAAGCCAGGCCGTGCAGCCTCACGCACCTCTTCTGTCCCAGGCGGATGGCTTTCAGTTCGTTCCCATATTTGTTTTTGATCCACTTGATTCCTTGAAGCTGGGCGTCCACGATCAGGGGCCAGCGCTCTGTGTTGCACAGGATGGTGGCGTTCTCAGTGGACATGCGGTCGCTGGGGAGGCCCTGGTTGTTCCAAGAGGCCACATCCGCATCGTCGGTCAGCAGGCTCAAGGGGTCTAGGCCTTCGGTGATTGGGATGGGGACCTGTGAGGAAAGGCAAGCTTTCTTAGAAACAGCCCCCCACCCCACTATTGCTGCTGTGGGTTTTTTTTCTGCCTCAGGTTTACTTGTACAAACACCCCAGCCCCATGCAGACAGAAGTCACACCAGTCCTTTTGTCCTCAGGATGGTAGACAGATGCCTCTACTCTGGAGCCTTCGTGGGGGCCTGGGCACCTTTGGGAGCCTGAGCTGGAACTGAAGCTAGAGCTGCAGATGAAGCCGCAGATTGGGCCTTGGTTTGAGCCTTGGCTTTGGCCTTTGGCCGGCGGATCCTGAGACCCTTGGCAATATGTGCACAAGCTCGCTTCCCAAGCTGGGGGTGGGCAACACAGGCAAGTCGACTGTGTTTGCGGCTGGCACCTTTCGGGATCTTGGTTTGTTTGTTTGTTTGTTTTGAGATAGAGCCTCAAGCTGTCCCCCTGAGTAGAGTGCCGTGGCATCACAGCTCACAGCAACCTCTAACTCTTGGGCTCAAGCAATTCTCCTGCCTCCGCCTCCCAAGTAGCTGGGACTATCAGCATCCTCCATAATGGCTGGCTATTTTTTGGTTGCAGCTGTCATTGTTGTTTGGCAGGCCCAGGCTGGATTCAGACCCGCCAGCTCAGGTGTATGTGGCCGGTGCCTTAGCCGCTTGAGCCACAGGCACTGAGCCATGTGATTAGGTTTCTTGATGCCACTTTTGGGACTGGTTGTTTGTGGTATGGTTTTGGACTTGGCCATGTCTGCACCCAGGAAAGGCTGCTCTCCCCCATAAAGTCCTAGTTCTTCCCTTGCCATCCATTGCCCCGTGAGGAACTAGGAGCAGCGCCCCCACCTGGCAGCATCAGCTCCCCACATCCACACAGCCCGTCTCACTGCTGTGGTTCTGTGGCTCTGCTGCAATTAGAGGTGGACTGGCTGGTGGCCTGAGTGAAGAGGCCATTTACCTTGCTGTAGACGGAGCAGCTCTGTTCTGTTCCTTGGGGAGGAGGGACCTCAACGTCAGTAGCTGAACTAGTTTCCAAACCCCGCATGGGCCGGTGGAACCTCAGCCAGGTGCTGTCTGGTTGGGTCTGCACTTCGTACCTTTAACTGATTGATATAAGGGATCCAGAATTTCTCCATCAGCTCATTTCGGTATTTCTTAGTGAAGTAGCCCACGTAGGAGACGAAGGCGGAGATGAGCAGGACGTCCCCGCACAGCGTGATGCCCTGCTTTTTGAAGTTCTCCACCGATTCAGCCCAGCGGACGTTCTCTGAGGCTAATCCTCCCACCAGCCTGGAACGGGAACAGGAGGAGATAAAGTACATTTGCCCAGTGAGGGGATCAGACGAGACCAGTCCTCCACCTTTAAATGACTTCAGAGTTTCTTGAAGTCATTTAAGAGCTTCTCTGGATCTTCAGAGTTTCACACTTATACTTGGCTCAGTGGCTCAATGGTGAAAAAAATGCTTTGGGGGAGCTTTGGAGAAACAAAATAATGATTTTGGAGGCCCTTGGGAACATGGCATTCCCAGGTCATGTGTGCATGTGTGTTGATGACACCCCATCTCTGCTGGCGGTATGGCACCCTTCCCCCCATGCTGATGCCGCTGCCTGGACACCACTGAGCACGTGCCTGGCCAGCAGGTGCTGGAGCACACGAGGGGACCATGGTGCCCCCAGGATGACGTGCATGCAGAGGCCCCGGTCCTGCAAAGAGTGGGGACTTCAGGGTGTGCACTGTGCTGCTCCGGCCGCCAGCTTGAGGACTGTCCCTGACCTACATGGCACACGCTGAGTCTGAAAGCACCGATGTATTTGTTGAAAGTCCAGGTTGCCCAGTTCGGCCCACTGAGGTCCACCTGAGCAGCCCTGGCTTGTCCACGGCCTAGAGGCCATGTTGCTTTTCTTGGCACGTGAGGTTAAATCCCTCAGGCCCATACCAGAGGGGCCTGCACACCACCCTGGGGGCCAGGCTCAGGCAGCTGGGGCCTCTCCTGGGGTTCCTACATTGTGTTGACCACTGACTAATTAGTGGTGGCCAACCCACAGGGGAGGAAGAGATACAGCCAGCTGGGCCCTTGGACTGACTCTGCCTGGCGCCCTGCCAAGGCCCCGGCACACACTTGTGGGAATGGGAAAGGGAGGTTCCAAAGCTTCCGCAGCCTCGAGCCCCCCAGGGCCCCTGGGCAGGGGCCACGGTGCACTGAGATTCAGTCTCAGGGGCTCACTGTGAGAACAAGATGTAAAAGCAGGGGTCCTCAAACTTTTTAAACAGGGGGCCAGTTCACTGTCCCTCAGAGCGTTGGAGGGCCGGACTGCGGGCTCCGGGACTAGTAGGCTACTAAGCAGGACAGGCAGTGGCGGCAAAAACACCCAGCGGGCCGGATTAATGTCCTAGGTGGGCTGCGTGTGGCCTGCGGGCCATAGTTTGAGGACGCCTGGTGTAAAGTATCTGACTGATAATTTTTATCTTGATCAGATGTTGAATGATACTCTTTTGGCTATTTGGGGCTAAGATATATAATTAAAATTAATTTCAGGCCTGGTATGGTGGCTCACACTTGTAATTCCAGCACTCCGAGAGGCTGAGGCATGTGGATTGTGTGATCGAGACCAATCTGAATAAGAGTGAGACCTACTCACATCTCTACTAAAAATAGAAAACTAGCTGGGCGTTGTGGCGGGTGCCTGTAGTCCCAGCTACTTGGGAGGCTGAGGCAAGAGGATGGGTTGAGCCCAGGAGTTTGCTCAGTTGCTGTGAGCTGTGATGTCACGGGACTCTACGGGGGGACTCTGTCTCAAAAAAAAAATTAATTTTACCTGTTTTTTTGTACTTTTTAAAACTGGCTGCTGGAAGAGTACACTGGAAGAGAACTCTTGCAACTAAAAGAGTTAAAATGGCAGACGTGGGCTACATTTTACTCTTAGCAGGCAGCACTGCACTGGACCCCAAACCCTGAGAGACACGGCGTGCACTGGTGTGCAGTGACCTGGGAGCCTGCACCCCATGCCATGTTGTGGCTGACAGTGGGTTGTCTCCAAGTGCTGCCCTGGGTTAAGCCCCTTGGGACATGCTGTCCTGGGCAGGTCTGGGTTGTTCAGGGAGGCTGCGTTCCCTGCGCGTGTCTGAGTGCACAGGAGACAAGGTTTAAGCTCAAAAAGTGAAGCTGCAGTGTGACTCCTTCCTCCTCCTCTGGAGGCTGCAGTGTGGGCTTGTACCTTCCAGGGAGTCCAAGAGGCAGGAGAGAGGGTGGGGGAGGAGCCCTACCTGTTAGCCAGGGAGATGACCCTGTTTGTGGCATCAGCCTCTTGCTGACATTTGATTTTCTCAGCTGTCGCTTTCTCAAAGGCCGACGTCAGGTTGTTCAGGTTGGCGTTGAGTTCCTGGGGAGACAAGTTGGAAAGGTCCTGGGATATCAGTACCAGGCTCTCCCAGCACCCACCCTGCCACTGGTGGGGAATGAGGGGTGAGCACAGGCCACCCAGGAAGAGCAGGAGCCCTGGAAGGGTGGGGGCCAAGGAGGCCAAGTGGCCCTCGAGTGACCTGGCCTTTCCTCTGCCTGCGTTCTCTCGTGCTGCTTAATAATTCACGGCATGGCCCGTGCCAGCCCACTTTAAACGGGAATATTGATTGGCAGCATGAGCAAGTGGTGGAGACGGAGACCGCGCTTACGGCAATCTTGTTTTTGATCCGGGACAGCTTCTCCTGCGCCTCTGCCAGCTCCGCATTAGCCTCCTCCAGGGCCTGCCTCTTGGGGGCCACATCGCAGTAGACCTCATAGAAGCGGACGATGTTGATGCACCAGGAGCACAGGCCTGCAGCGGCCGTGGACTTGGAGCGGATGAACTCAGGGTCGAAGGTTGGGTTGCCTTGGTATGGCCTGGCAGGGGAACACCAGACAGCCAGAGCTGTTACCCTGCCTTACCCTGGGGAAGCGTGCCCAGAGAGGCTGAGTGTGTCCCCCACAGCTCTGATGGGGCAGTGGTCCACTCTGTTCCTCCCGCTGCCCTGGCGGCACCACCCCATTTCCCAGGATGGGCACCCGGAGACTAAAATGACAAGGTTATGGTGGGGAGCTGGTGTGGCAGGGGTGCCTCTTGGGGGGGAATGCTACAGTGACTGAGAAGAATGCCCATCCGAGTCGTTTAGACTCTTTGGAAACTAGTATGTTAAAAATGATGACAACATTGTTAAATAGGTTAAACTGGTCTGCAGAAAGAAAACAGAATGGATAACTCAAGATGTTAGTTGAAAAGCAATTTCAGTTCAGGTTGGGGAGCAGCTGTTGCTTCTCACTTTGGTCTGTGCCATACCCTGTTTATTTACTATTAGAATGAGTTTGCACCCTCTAAACATGCACCAAGCAGTGTGGGATGGTGGCAGCTGGGGGACAAGAAGAAGGCACTCATCAAGGTGTCATTTATAATACAAAACAGGAACAGCCTAAATGCTCAGCAAGGCGGGAAGTTCTGTATGCTACGGTTCCCCCAGGCAGATGGGACCGTAGGACAGGGCCGGCCAAAGAGCTACGTCCACGTGGGAAAAGTAGTTTCTGTCAATGTTACATGAAAAATAAAAGAACAAATAATTGTGTATTTACAGTTATTTCAATGATGAAAAAAACTTTTAGGAAAAAGACTGAAAATAAATACACCAGATGCTGACAGTGGCCCCCCAGGGGTCTGGAAGCCTTTCCTGGTTTCTTCTCTCATACTTGACACCATTCTGTGCCTGCCAAATGTCTCTCATAGTCCAACCTTCTTTCTCCCTGGCAGAGCTGGGACCTCCTGGGGCCCCAGCTTTGGTCCCTGGGCTCAGAGGGTGTGACCTTCTTCCTCAATGGGGGTTGGGGACCCTGAAATTGGGCTGCCCAGGGATGGCAGCAGGGAGCCCATGCGGTGGGAGATGGGCCTGGAGCACTTACAGAGGGGAGGCCTCGTGACACTGTGGGTAAAAAGTGGAATCCTTGTGACACCTTTTCCCCCGGGCCACGGCCCTCCCCCGAGGGAGTCCCCTCCGGCCCTATGAGGAAACCTCCCAGATACAGGACCTTTGTAGTCTGGTGGGAAGGCGGAAAGGGGTCCGACAGAGCCTCACTGTGTGCGTGTGGACACGTGAGCACCCCATATGTGCACGCACACATCGCATCCATGCATATCTGTGTGGGGCACCCATGTATGCAGCCAGCTGCCATAGACCTAGCTGGCCTCTATCATGGACCGACATCTCTAAGGGAAGTGTTTATTGAGTGTCAGCATGGTCTGAGGGTGTCCTGCTGCCATGTTGTCCACTGCGTGTCAGCTGTGTGCTTTTGCCCTGGATGCTGTGATGGGAGGGCCTTCCGAGATCCTGAGCCCCAGGAGCCTGGGACACCCCATCCTGGCCGAGTGCAGCCAGGTTCGTCCAGAAGGTAGCCCCCGTCTTTGGGGCTCCACCTTGCTTCACTGAGCCCAAGACCCTGTCTAAATCCCAGCAAGCACATGCCTAGGGGCTGGTACTCCTAGGAGAAGGTTCTGGACCTCGTGGGGCCTTAATGTGATAAGGAATTGGAGGGAGCCCCACACGCCTGATCAGGCCAACTCACTTAAACGCTTTCAGGCAGGCCTCGGGGATGTGCTCCTTGTCGAACTTCTTCAGTGAGTCCAAGAAGGTGTCTACTTTGCCCATCATGATCTTCGCAGCCTTCCAGCTCTTGTCCTTGGGGATCTTGCCCCCAGGTGCCGTCAGGATCATGACGGCGGCCGTAACATTGACCACGGCATCCGGGGGGGACCCAAAGGACTTCAGCTCCGTCAGATTGTTCTGCAAACAGCAGACAGGAGTTAGCACAGGCCCTCAGGGGTGACCCTAAGAAAGCCCCTTACAGCGACAGTGAAGGCCGTGTCCTCCCCACTCCCCTGTCCTTTCCATTCCCTCTGTACCTTGTTCAGAGTGTCCAGCGCTTCCTGTGCGGCCAGCAGGGCTGGTTCTGCTTTGGCCAGGTCTGTCTCACAAGCCTTTTGTTTCTCAGTGACATTCTGCAAGGAAGCCAGACAGGCTTGTCTGTCCCCGGGGGTGTGTGTTTAGGGGGTAGGCCCAGGTCCCCACCCACAGCCCAGGACCCCGTGGGTCTGAGCTCCGAGATGGGGCTGCGTGTCCTGCTGACCTGGGGGCCTGCACCTTCACTGACAGCCCCTCGAGTGTGCTCGGTTACTGTGTCTGGAACCCACCTCTGCCCCCAGCCCAGCCCTGGGATCTTGGAACGAGAATTCTTCCTCCTACTGGCTGGGGCCACCCAGACCCTTGGCCTGGAGAGCTTATGTCTGTGGGACCATCGTGTAGTCCCCCAGATGGTACATCTCAGAGAGTGAGAAATAAGGCCATTTTCATCTATCTGCTCATTTATCTACTGGCTCTGGAGAGAGCAGTTAGTCACCAGACACTCTGAGTTTAAACTCCCACCAGACATGGGCAGAGGACAGAGCCCTACAGGGCAGGGAAACAGAGGAACAAACGACACTGTGGTCCTTCAGGTCCCAGGGTGATGGAGACGTTTCTCCTGTGCCATGGTTCTCAGCCTTGGCCGCCTACCAGAACCAGCAAGGATCCCCCGCCCCCGGCCAGTGATAACCTGACCTCTGGAGGTCCCGGAGCAGCAAGTCTGAGCCCCAGGGCCCCAGGAGGTCTTCTCAGCCCTCCACATGCTTACAGACACTGGCATCAGGTTAAAATGCCCAGAGCTGGCTGGGGCCTGAGGGCCGCTTCCACTGCTGTGCCTGGGGGCAGCACTTTTGGGAGTCTCAAAGGGGCATTTCTCCAGGGAAAGGCCCTCCTTCTGGGGTCCCGGGGGTTGGGAAACTCTGCCTTGCGGGGCCTGCGCCCACCTTGTTGATGACCTCAACCTTCACTTCCTCCTCATCAGCGATGGCTTTCTCTTTGCTGACCTTCTCTGTCTCCACACCGACCACCTGGATCAGCTTGTCTGCGTTCTCATTCTTTTGCTTGAGCTCAGCCTCCTGAATCGCCAGCTTAGCCTTCAGGTCATCCACCTGGGATAGGAGGGGCCAAGGGCAGGCAGGATGGCAGGCCCTTCCCAAGAGTCTTTTCAATATTATTACTCTAAGGGAAGTGTTTATTAAGTGTCAACTGTGCACAGGGTCATGAACACCAGACACATTCCTGGCACTCAGAGGGGTCAGCAGGCCAGGTGACTAGACAGAAAAATGCCACCTGAGTCACAGTGCTGAGGAGTTTGGGAGGCCAACGTGTGTTCTGGGCTGGTGGGAGAGTAACAGGGAAAGCCTAGGGACTGGGGTCCAAAGGCTCCCCTGGAAGTGAGCGTGGGGCCCCAGCTTGTGTACAACTGAGGTCACAACTGTTTGGAGAGACATTTAAAGCCAGGTAGGACACTTAAAAATCAATACAGTGTGGCTCGGCGCCTGTGGCTCAACCGGCTAAGGCGCCAGCCACGTACACCTAAGGTGGCGGGTTCGAATCCCCAGCCCGGACCCGCCAAACAACAATGACGGCTGCAAC